TGGGAAAACGCACCTTTGACGTGGTGTTTTGGAACCGTGGAGTTGCTATGGGGTTGATATAGAAAACCTGTTTTGTTTGGGGCTGAGGAGGGTGGGGTTCCACCTTGAGAGAGAGAATGACAGAACAGAAAGATACTTTTTGGTTGACAGTCAGTCAGCCTGTCTGCCCTGCCCTCTCAGGAGTGAATATGAAAAGGTGGACAGGTGGGAATGGTCATGAGGTGTGTCTGGGAAGGGTGGGGGTGGGGGCAGGTGCTCTGCTGTGGAAGCCTCAACCTGCAGCGAGGGTGCTAATTCTTCATGTCAGTAGGTTCAGTGAAAGAGATCTAGAATATCATACAGTAGCTGGATTAGTCCTCTGAGTTAATACAGTGTTGGGTTTAGTTGAGCTCAGATATGGGCGATATTATATAAACAGGCTATAAAGTGAAACCACTGGAAATTTAAGTGGATTTCAGGGGTAGGAGTTGAAGGTGATGCCAAACTATAAAAAGGGGCGCATCAGCATCTTTGTTTTATTGTCCCCCGAACACCCGGTAAAGGCACTTAGCTAGCTGTTCTCTGATCTCTTGAGTGTTATGTATTATTAAAATAAAGCATTAGTCAACTGGATGTGTCTCTGTGTGGAGCAAGCATATCAGTGTGTGTGTGTGTGTGTGTGCTTTGTGCATGTGTTTTGTGTAGATTACAGAATATTTGTGCATGTGCACTTCCACTATGTGTTATTTAGCAGTTTTTGTGCATATGTTCATGTGCCTTCATCTCTGTATATGTGTGGGTGTGTGTTTTGCCTATGGTCGCTGGCCAGCCATGGCTACAGCTAACTCACCCGTACAAAGCTGGCAGGGAACCATCCTTCCTCCTCATCAATCTGGCCCCACCACCAGTCTTTGTTGGAGGCATCCAGCACCTTGATGACGTCACCAGCCTTAAACGCCAACTCCCGGTCCGCCATGGTCACATGGTCCCATACCGCCTCAGCGTTGACGATCGAGCCTCCACTTATCAACTGAAGAGATTGGAGGGAGAAACATGCGATAGCTTATGCTTTATACTCATCACATGAAGCCACTGCTGTGAAAACACCACTGAAACAGCATAACCAACACTGCTGACACTCACCAATAGATATGGACCCGTGTGATCTAAAACAGCATATAAATCAAATTTGATAGTGATTGTAATACAGTAGTGAGCCTCATTTTGGCCTCGGTTTGTATGAATCCTTGTTGTTAAACCCACTCAGATTACTAATGGATGCAAATACACACCCTCAAAGCCAGGGCCCACTGGCAGCTTAGGGACTGCAATAGAACAACACAATAACTAACACAGGGTACGATACAACAAAATACGACAACACAAAAAAGGCAAAGCCATTAGTGGAGAAACAACACAGCGTTCAGAAGCACAGCACCACTTTCCACAGAGGGACAGTAATTGGCCCATTATGACATTAGAATAATTACATGTGTTAATGTAATATAAATGCTGAGGAGCAAACAAATGTGAAGGGATGGATAATCTCCTTTCCTTCATGTTATCATGTTGTCATGTTGTTACTTTATGTGCTGCAAAGTCTTTGACAGTACATGGAAGGATGACTCATCAAATCTTTCACAGTGATTTTAACATCATGCATAAATAATGTTGACGTTATGTGTCACTGAAAACAGGTTCAAATTGTAAAAGTGTGTGCATGTACATAAGCAGAGTATTATTTTCTGTAAGGGCATCAAAGTGTGTCAGGTGATCAGTATTCTTTAGGGGACTTAGAAAGGCTAAAGGTTGTTCTCATTAAAGCCAAACAAGAAACAGCAGACGATGTTCCTGAATAGGACCTGATGTTGATCCCATCCATCTACCAAACAGCACCCCTATCCATCACACTGATGACTTAGCTTTGCTGCCTGGAGACACACACATCAGCACATGCGTACACGCACACGTGCAGCTTCGCTTTTAACTTCGTATGCATTAAAACCTGTGTATGCTTCTGTGGCACACCTCCAACTGTTTGTTCCAATTGTTCTCTCCAAAAGTAGTGCTCATCAGCATTCTCTAGTCCAGAGCTATCCATGCATCCAGTCCCTGGGGCTGTGGGCAGAGCAGCCAGTGCTAACCAAGCCTGACAGGAGCTGCTTAGTCTCTAGGTAAGGAGTTATCAAAGCCTGGAGACAGGTTTGTCGCATGGGTGAACATAAAATTAGTTCTTTACTTGTATTAAGGGTTTTGCATATTAATATTAAAGTTAGTGTTATTTTTAAACTAGAGCTAGTTATGTTTTCCCTGACTCATTTAAGATTAATTTGCCTGTTATAAAAAAGAAATCCCCAGATGAAAAAACCTTTTTAAAATGCACCTCATCACTACAGCACAAAAATGCTATTCTACCTTCCTACTGATGCAGTGTTTGTAAGACTGTACAGAGAAACTGCAGATTGTTTGTGCATGAGTATGTCTGTATCCATCTGAACCCCCAAAGAGGATCTGAGCTCTCAGACTCAGCAGCTACGTTGCCCCATCCAACCTGTAGCCGAGCCTATTTCCTAATGCCTTACTGAGACAGCTACAGGGGATATAGGCCAATCAGGGCAGAGGAGTGAACATAGGGAGGGACGTCCATGCCTGGAAGGGAAAGAACAGCCGTCGTCATGGCGACAGATGAGGATGCTTCACTGGTATTGACAAGATGATGGGATGAGGCAAGGACACTTCAGGATGCACCAGAATATTTCCAGATTTAGGCCTTAGAGTGTCTCTGTGTGTGAGATGACATACACAAAGAGTGGCCACTGATTAAATGTCAATATCACTCTGTTAATGAATAAATATATATGACAAACTAATCACATTAGAGAATCAAGCACCATAACAAGTTGTACGCCACTGTCAAATGCAATATCATAGGCCTCTGAATGTCAGTTATAGATCAAAGATGTCACTGAGTAGGTTGATTCAATCAGGCGTCACATAGAGCTGGGAGCTGGGGTAACAATAGCTCTAGCCTATATCTCAAAGCACTCCACAACAGGAAGCCAGGAGGATTACTGCAAAAACATGTGTCACGCTGCCATGGCAACAGGAATGATGAACAGTGCTCAAAAAGATTAAAAAATCATTGTTGAACCAGGAAAAGGAACATAAATAATTCATTACACAAATGGACAGTTAAAAAAAAACATGCCTAAATGACTAGTGGAAGCCACATCAGCTCTGCTCACCCATCGCCATCTGATATCGGGGCCTGTGCTTGAAGCAGCACCCACAGAACAAATGAGTTTTAGCACTGAGGTCAGTCTTGCTTCTTACTCTTTTACTGTAATGTCTGATTGCCCTAATCCACCCTCCATCCCCCGGCACCACTCCATTTTCATCCCCAATTCATTCCAAGCACAATCTCTCCAGTCCCCATCAATCTGCTGTAATATAGGTGACAGACAGTAAGAGTGAGGGAGAGAAAGACATAGATAAAGATCCATTCACAGCCAGTGGTCCTCCTTGCTTAACGCTCTCCTTCCCATCATCTTTCCATCTCCTTAATCAGATCAGCCCTGCCCCCTCCAATACATTGCATCCTTTTCCCATCTACAGACCTGAATAAATTAAAAGCATTACATAATCAATCTTCCAAATTCCTGCCTTAGCACAGGTTCATACCTAGCCTGATCAAACAGCATACAGTAAACACAGACACACAGAGGAGTCTTGCCACAGTACTCACCGTTAAAGCTGTGTCTACCAGCTGTAATGACCTATGTCATCATTAAGGTTACACTGCAATTACAACAGCAAGGATCAGAAAGCGAAATGGCTTTCTTTAAACAGCAAAATCTGTATTTGGGTCAATGCAAATGAGTGCAGAAAATGTACCCCTACACATGGACACACCATATACGGCAATACTATTCGTTTCAAGCATAAACATGGAGACTGACAAGGACATGTGTAAGAATAAAAATCCGATTCACTGGCTTATATCATCTTTGCAGCACAACACATCAGCATTCACTGCACTGGCAGTTCCACTGCATTCCAACATCCTCCTCTGTCTCTAGCTATAGCACAGCTGCACCAAAGCACCTACAGCATCCCTGAGCAAACGCACAAATACCTTTAGCCAGGCTTACCATGTTTGTGGCATGTAGCTGTTCAGAGAGTGTATGCATGGAGAAGTCCGACTCATACAATCATGATAATGAAATTCCTTTTGGAAGTGGTCGAGGTGCCGGTCCTCCTTAAGAGCTGAGCCTGAGATGTTGAGTAACAAGGTGCTGTATTACAGAAAGAGGCTTCTCTTTCCGATGCACCGTGTGAGTCTCGCGGCCGTCCTCCCTGTGTCTGCCAACCCTGTTATGTAATACACTTATGCCCTGAGTCTGGGAGCCAATCAAAGTTGCTCTGCCTTAAACCGGTAAGAAATGCACATACACACATATACAGTTGTCTTGCTCGCACACACCGTCTGCACATTGACACTTCTGACTGCACAGCATTTAACCGAACTCTATTAGACGGCACCTGCCCTGGAGGAATTACAAATGTGTGAACACTTGGGACGTGTGAGGGACTCTGATTCAAAGAGGAAGCATAGATAACATCCACCCAAGACTTTCATGCATGTACACAAACACACACAACTTCACATGGTTACATCTAAAAAAAAACACTGCATTGTCAAGTGAGTTATAACCACTCCACTATACAACAATATGAGGCTATGTTTACAGTCCTAAGGAGGTCCCAGCAGTGAAGGATGATTATGCCTTGTACAGGTCATATAGGTATCTATGTTCATAATACATGGCCACCAGACATTCCTTTCTACACCTACAGTAGGACATTTATAACTTAAGGAGACACACGCAAAAACACACACAGGACTTAGCCTTGAGTGTGAGAGAGCACACACAGTATTCTAGCCTACGTCCCTATTAATCGGACTGTCATGGATGGCTCTGGGAAAGGCTTTTAGCATATCTATTTCTAACATTCATTCAACATTCATGCCACCTGCCTCCAATCCTTTATTAGATTATGCCTCTGCATGTGGAATAAACGGAAAGTGGCATTTTGGATATTCAGTCTCTTAAGAAATATGCACATACAGCATACTGATGTATTGTTAATTAGTCCTTACTAAGTGACCAGGTGTTATAAAGTGTGGGCTCCACACAAAGAGAGGTGTCATAGTGAAATGTTGCAAACATGATAAATGGGAATATTGTGGGCTGTGAAATGGGAGCTGAGTTTAGCTGAATCTAAAATGGGGGAAACCTTGAGTGACAGAGGCCCTCCTTTATGAGACCTAGCCTTGCCTGCAACTGCTCAGGCTACTGTTCATCTGAGATAACTATGATCCTCCAGACTCTATGCTCAGCAGCACAAACGTCTCACTTGCACCTTTATTTGCTAGAATATCCCATCACTTCAGTGGAGAGACCAATGCTCAGCTATTAGCTGCCATATTGTAGATGTGGCTACAGTGGATCACAATAGAAAAACAAGTCCTGACGCAGCACTAGGCTGTGGTTAAAAAAAGACCGCCAGATTCTTTTTTTTCATATAAAAATATACATATTACAGAACGAAATCAATCCGTGCGCATAATCCACAAAATACAACATGGATGAGAGGGGGAGATCAACATAGGGGGCGACATGTTTATATGCGGGGTTTATGAATCTCCAGTAACCACAGAAAACGTAAGAGCATCATAGATCTGTACCCTGCACAACTACGATCACCACCAGACAACACTAGCTATCACAAACGGTGAGAGGACACAAGACATAACGAAGGATTGGGGAGGGGGTAACAGAAATACATTATGTTGTACCAACGTCATTCATTTCAACGCGGTGCCGTGATGGAGCGCCGGGTGTCCCCGCTCTCGACCAACGCGCACCGCCTTTCTCTTCTCTCCTGTGTGATTGTGTGGTGCGCTGCGAACCGGGCCCCAAGCGCAGATCCATTAACGAGTACCGAGGATGAACATCAACAGCACGT